AAAAAAAAAAAAAAGAAGAAGAAAGAAAAGAAAAAGAAAGAAAGAAATGAAAAAGAAAGAGAGAAAAGAAAAAAAAAATCTAGATTCAACAGTGGCAAATTCTACATTTACAATCTCACTTGGAAGGGACCCAAAACAAGCCCCCTTCCTTTCGCGCACAGAACAAATCACAACAATCACACACCAGGACCGAATCCATCAGCAGATGCAGCCCTGGGGGAAGGGCAGGGGAAAGAAGACAGACAGACAGACGGACGGACGGACAGATAGCAGGGAGGGGCGAGGGAGCTCCTCGGGCCCCACAGAGGAGAGAAGCACAGACTCTGGGAAGGGGTGTTTCGGGGGTTTGCAACAGGAATGCGGAGCAAGAAATGAAAGGCTCGGATGGGACAGGCGTGGGGAGGGACGACGAAGGATCAGAAAGAAATAAGCGAGGGTCAACGGAGCGTGAAGGGTCGTGTCAGAGAAAGGGGACCGGGGGGGACGCGGCAGTGTGGCGAGGTGGGTGAAGGCCTGAGGTGCAGCATTCCCCAGGGTGCTCCAAGGTGATGACAGGAAGGCCTGGTGGGGGTGGTGGGGAGGAGCTAGGACGCTGTGGAGTCACAGAGACCCAGCCACACGTCCGGTGTCCTGGGGGAGTGGGGGGGGCCGCAGGTAGGTGCGCCCCCACAGGAGAAGAGTAAGAAAACCCAGCGCGTGGCGGGACTGGCGGAGCAAGGGGGACAGTGCGCCAAGGGCCTGGGCCCGCGGCGCGCCCCACAGCAGTTCACAGCATGGAGACAACTCCCCGTGTGGGAGAAGCAAAGACACACGCAGCCAAACACTTGACAACTCATCCTGACACTTTACAAAATAATAATAATTATAATAATCGTCAAAGAAAACAAAGATACCACAGTTCTGACGCAAAGGACCAAAACACTACCGTTCTCAGTCACAGCCCTTAGTGCTTAGAGAGTTGGGGGAAAGTTTGCTTTTTGTTTTAGGAAAAAGGAATGAAAAAATCACAGTGATTAAAAACATGGCAGGTTCTGAAAATAAACACTCCCCCGCCCCTAACGTAGGGCCGCAACGAAGATCCCAAATACGTTCCGTCTGCCCGCCCCAACCCGGTCCTTCCGTCACCCCACACCCCGCTCCTGCCCACCATCCAGGCCCCGTTTTCCAGGATAGTGAGGTATTTAGAAATGTGACCCAGGAGGGACTCCTCTGAAACCAGGTTCTTGAAGAGAAGAAAAGATACCTTCCCACAACCCCCAGGATAGGATGCATTTCCCTCGGGCACTGCCTAAGTCAGCCCCCAAACCACACCTGTAGGGATCGGGCTCAGCGCAAACTGAAGAGCCCTTCTCTAGGAAGTGGTGGGTGGACAGATGTGCTTTTTCAAGGAGAACAAGGGGGGAAAGGCCATCACGAGGCTCCATCACGCCCAGACTATCCCTACACAGACAGGAAGCCTCCCTGGTCAGAGACCAGTGGGGATCAGAGCTCATGGGGCACTCCGCGTGGCAAGAACCAGTGAGTCTGCCAGAAGATGGGCCTGAGAGGGGGCACGGCGAGTTACTCAGAGGCCTGGCCCCAGGGCACACTCCAGCCCAGCCGCGAATGGCCCTCCCCGTGGACCCCAGCTGGAGGTTCTAGTTCCCTCGGCTAAAACTACGTAATTGAAACACGTCTGAGTGAAAGGCTCAGATGTACGCTGAAAATATGTCTTAGAAGGCCAGTGGATTTTGCTCAAAACGAGACCTAAACTCTGGAAAATTCGGATTGGGTGTAGAGACTACAGAAGCCCAACAAGGTGAGGGACGGATACCCATGAAGGCGGCAATCCTGGCCCCTCACCCCAGCACTGAGAGAGACGAGCGCCCAGAGAACCAGGCAGGGAGACAGGAGGGCACCCTGGCCAGCCAAGGAAAAGAGACCCCTGAGGCAAAGAAGTGGGCTTAAGGCAGGGGACGAGGGGGCTACTGGCTCCCCCCAAAACGAGATGAGGCAACAGGTCCCTGGCACTGAGAGAAAACACACGGGGGGGGGGGCGGGGAATGTTGGTCTCAGACCTTGGGGGGTCGGGTCATGGTCTGCAAGCCACTAAATCTGGGCTGGCGTCTGTCTACTTGCCGTCCTTCAGCAGGAAGGGGAAACCTGCCCCAGCAAGGCGGGACCAAAAGTACAGGTAGGTTCGGAGGGCAGGGATCTGTGATGTTCCCCGGGTCTCTCCCGTCCTTCGCTCAGAGGCTGCCCAGGGTGGACCCAGTGAGGGAAGGCACTGTCCCCCATGGCCCAGGAAACGTGGTCACAGAGGGCTTCTGCCTCAGTTTGCCTGTGGTCACAGACCATACAACTCAGAAACAGAAGGTAGAGACTGTGGAGTGAAGGGTAGGATCTTCCCTCGCTCTGAATGTTGTGTGGATGTGCAGGGGAAGCTCTGACAGCCGAAGCCAATGACGGTGGCGGGGAGACCCCTGACTCGGGCCATGTGGGGGGGACACAGGGGTATCCTGCCCCAAGAACTCAGCGTTTGTACCGGGCAGGCTGAGCGGGCAGGAAGAGTGGATAACCCACCACCTGGAGGAGTTTGGCACCATGGCTCTCTGGAGTCACGTCTGTGCCCCGGGAACACCCTGCTGGGGCCACAGTCCGCATTGCTACGAGGACCTGGTTCAGGGAGGGTGGGGGCTCAGGGGGTCCCCGCCCCCTCTCAGAAGAGACCGCCATCCATCCGGGAGGGAGAGGGAGAGGGAGGGCGAGAGGCACGGCTTCCTGCAGGATGACACCAAGTGAGGGCTGGGGAGAGAGAGCGAGCTTCCCAGGCTCTGCTGACGCAGGTGGCCTCTTGAGGCTCATGTGGGGCAACTAAGGAGGAGGGGAGCAGATGGGTGGGGGGTCAATTCAAGTAAAAGTAAACGGGGGCAGGAGGCCGAAGGGCGGCGGGAGACGAGAGCCGAGCCCTCCCCCGCCCGCAGGAGGCCCACGCACCCCCTGCCGCCGCTGCTCGGTCACACCGAGGTCTCAGACTGCAGCCTCATGACAAACTTGTGCGACTTGGGATCCACAAACTCCTCGGAGAGTTTGAAGAAGGGGACCTTCTTGGTGCTCACCACCAGGCTGAAGTCCTGGCGTTTTAAGAGGAAAACGATGCCGTCCTTGAGCCCGTTGGTCACCGGCTCCTCGCTCACCAGCGTCCACTGTTTGGCCAGCCAGCGTTCCTTGTGGTACTGGATGGTGGGTCCGGCCGCCAGGTACCGCTCCAGGAAGGCCTGGGGAGAGGCCAGGGGCTGCGTGGGCATCTCTCCCACCCACCTGCCACCCTCGCCCCCTGGGGGCACAGCTTCCGGAGACAACCAAGATGTCCCCCAGCCCACGCTCTGCTTCCACGCCATCTAGAACATTAGAGCAGAAAGGGGCTGGGCTCCTCTGCTTCAGACCCTTGTTGTAAACATGGGGAAGCGGAGCCCACAGAAGAGGGGGGCGCCCAGGGTCAGGACCTGCGCCCCGCACTTTCCCCGCCACAGGCCAGGACCGCGAGCCCTCCCTCATCCTTGCTTCCCCTGCATCAGCTCTCACGGAGCCTGTCACCCTGCTCACCAAGTGTGGTTGGGGACGCAATTCTAGGAGGCTGACAATAAAGTTGAGGGGAGGGTAACAGCTCGAAATGAGCACAAAGAACACTCGGTGGCGGTGAAGGGGGACGGGGGGACTCGGTGTGGCAACAGCAGAGCCCTTACAGAGACGGGAGTCAGGTCTCGGCCATTCCCGGAAGAGTCTGGAAGCTGCCCCTGCCCCTCACCGCCTGGGAACTTGACTCGGAGCAGAGGCGGGGGGTGGGGCAGGGACGGGAGAAGAGACCACAAGGCGGAGCGGGAGCAGAGGAGCGCAGGGCTGCAGGGCTGGGTGCAGCGAACCCCGTGGCAAGGAAGGCCGGAGCGGAGAGAGGCAGGGTGCCGGCAGCAGAGTCCGCCTACCTTGGGCGTCATGTCGTGAGTGATGCAGAACTCGAGGTGCTGCAGGATGCTCTCCATGGTGTGGTAGGGCTGCTGCTTGGTGGTGCGCAGGTACTTCTGCATGGCACGGGCCATGGAGGCGAAGATGGCCTGGGCTGCCTCCCGGGGGTCCATCACCTCCCTCGGGTTCTTCTGCTCCTCTTCCTGCAGCCGCTTAATGTGAGTGAAGGCCTCCTCCACCGCCACCACAAGCCTGGGGGACAGGAGGGGCCTGGACCACGCGCCCGCCTCCCGTCCTTCCCTCAGCTCCAGCCCTCCAGCAGCCTGAGCGAGGCCAGGCCTCGGGCACCCCCCGCCCCCCGCCAAAACAGCACAAACCCACCTGGAGCCAAGGGCTGGGCTCTGGGGGCTGTGTGCGTGTGGGGGTGCACATGCACAGTGCGATGGGGGGGGCAAGGCAGGAGACAGCTGTAGAGCTCCGGGAGCCGAGCGCAGGGACTCCAGGGTCAAAGCCAGAGACAGCCAGGGCCTGCAGCAGACGCCGTCCTACCTGAGACCCCCGCATCACGCCTCGCTGGCTGACAAACTACCAGACAAGCACAGGGCATGGGCAACGTTAGCATCTGTCTGGGGGGTGGGGTTGCAAGGAACTGACTACAAACCAGGAAGAAAAAGGCGAGAACACTAGAGCAAAATGGCAGAGGTGAGACCTGGTTGGCTGCAGACACGCAAGCCCTCAGCGGCCGGCCGTCAGAGAATGAAAACGTTCATGCAGCACTACCCATCAGGACAGGCAAAGAGGAAGAGGACTAGAATCCAAATGCCGCTGAGGGGGTGCGACGCACCGTGAACCACCTCGCCGCGACAAGACGCCGCACACTGGATCAAGGGCAGCAGGGGTGAGTCTCAAAAACGGTGTTAAGGGGGAAGCAGGAAAAAGAAGTCAATTTACATGAAACGCATACAGACACATGGCGGCGTCTGGAGACCCAGGAACCTGGAACCTGGGGTAGCTGAGGGTGGGATTCTGGGCTCAGAAAACTGTGGCTCGTGTGCGGCTACAGTTCTGTTTATTCTCGTGCTTCTGTGTCTCGGTGCAGCTCCTTCTGAAAAAACCCTTTTATCTCGGGTGAACCAAGGGAAAAGCTTTCTCCTGGTGACAACCAAGGTAACAGGGGAAGGAAATGTCCGCTACGGGCCAAGAATGGTGTTAGCAGGACAGGAGATCCAAAAACCCTGCTTGGGGCAGAAGGTGAAGGGCGTGTGTGGCATCGCTGGTTCCTTCCCACCAGGGCCATTTCTGAGACAACAGGAGACATGCTGGAATGTCAAAGAAATGGCACTGCTCTGGGGCGCCTGGGTGGCTCAGTCAGTGAAGCGTCTGCCTTCGGCTCGGGTCATGATCCCAGGGTCCTGGGATCGAGTCCCGCATCGGGCTCCCTGCTCAGCGGGGAGCCTGCTTCTCCCTGTCCCTCTGCTCTTCTGCTCATGCTCTCTCTCAAATAATTAAATAAAATCTTAAAAAAAAAAAAAAAAAGAAATACCATTGCTGGGACACCAGCCTCATGCCAGGACAGGGGAAGGGATAACTTCCTCCCTCAAAGCCTAGAGACCGGGTGAGGAGGGGCAGAGGGCAAGGCGGATGGTCAAATGCCGGGGCCCTCTCCTGTCGGAGGCCCCGTGGAAATCCCAACACACCACGGTGGGACATGGCAGCGGCAGGCACCAAGAAAGACTCTTCAGGCATGACTTAAGTGTACATAATAATGTGAACAGGAAAAAGGGAGGAGTGAGGACAGTACTTAGGAATGTACCAAGATATGAGTGCCAGAACCTCATTTTTTGCAGGTAAAAAGGTACCATCAGCTAAGCAGGCCTCTAAGAGCTACTGGTAGGAGGCCCAGTCCAGCCTCAGTCCCCGCTGCTGCAGGCAAGGCTCACATGGTTTGCCAGGTCCCTGCTCCACGGTGGGAGGCAGAATTCCAAGATGCCCCGTTCACCTCCAGCAGGTTCCCGGCTCCTGGCTATTTGGTTCACTCCGTACGTTTTGCACACATAATTCAAGTGCCGAGTCAGTTGACTTGGACATTATAAAACAAGGAGATGACCCTGACCAGCCTGATCTTATCACATGAGCTCTTTAAAAGCAGAGTTTTCTCCAGAGAGAAAGAACAGGTCAAAGGAAAATTCGAACTACCATATCCTGACCCGTGAGGTCAGGTGACAAGGAACAGATTCCAATGACCAGTGAGCTTGGAAGAGGACCCAGGCTCAGGTGGGCGTGGTCTTGATTTTGGCCTTGACACCAACTGAGGGCCTGACCGGCAGGACTATGAGCTGAGAAGCGTGCACTGGTTTACGCGCCCAGCTTACGGCATTTGTCCTAGCAGCCACAGGACACGGATGCTCACAGCGCACCCCATCCTGACGGGTGCACAGGCCTGCTGGTCTTCCTCTCCCGGCCAGCCCACACCCAGCGGGCCCCCAGGCTCCCCCGGCCCGTCCTCACCC